CTCTTACCTGTTGCACCCATTTACCTCCTCGTGGTGCACCCTGGGCAACGTATACTCATAAGGCAAGAAAGTCGATTAACCGGAAGTTGACTTCTGACTTCAAACTACCATGACCCCACTGTATGTCATATTCGACTACTTTCACGGTACTCACCTCACCTTTTTTTCTACCTTTGTGTCTATCTCTTTTACATCCTTGAAACACTCTTCTGTTCCCTACCCCTCTCGACTTTTTTCCTCTTTGATGTTCCTTCCCCTCTGTGAAGTCTGAAGTCAACGAGAGGGATAATGATAACTATCGAAACACCTGCCATTTGATATAAATATATTTCAAGTACTTCCCACAAAATACAGATGCCTTTAAAATGAGATTTCGGCATGTCAGGTGGCTTTCAATACAATAAACGATAACACAGCCGAATTTTGATTAAAAAGTGGATTGGTGCGTTGGCATTTCGCCGGCTTTCAAAGTTTTAATTCAAAAGCATACAAGGTGCGTCAGTTTTCAATACGTCGCTTAGGAGGTATATTTGCACTGACTGCACTTTTAAATGAGTCATTCCGCGTAGTACATTCGGCAATTTTCAACTTTTTTTCATAAGGTATGAAATTAATAAAGCTAAATTTATCGATTTCCATCATAGGATTAGTAAATTAATGTCTAGGGAGCTAGAAGTCCCTTAACAAAAAATCTAGAAAAGAACCATAATGCATCCAGTTACAGTTTTATGTCCAGAAACGCGTTTAAAATAAGTACTTGAAGGGAATCGGTCATTATCAAGCCAAAGTTAGGAGAATCATTCACATTTTACATACCGTTTTGAAAAATGTCTTCATCTGAAACTCACTGGGCTGGCTCAAAAGGTTTGATTTGACTTCCAGATAAGTGTCGTTGATTATAGCAATAAACATGTTGATTAGGACAAAGAACACAAAGAAAATATAGACGAGAAAATATAGCGGACCGAGGATACTTTGGGCGTTTTGCAGGGCTTGAAAGTCGAAATCGCCCAGGATGATACGGAACAGGGTCATTCTAAGAAATCAATGAAGATAAGGTATGTACGTAATTCCCACCCAATAAATTAAGGAAATTATAAAGACCAGACTTACAAGGAAGTGGTAAATGTTCCGAAGTCAGAAACTTGTGTACCGAAGGCTAGGTAACCCAATTGAGCAAAGGCAAAAAAGACAATGAAGAACATCACCCCAAAACCAGCGATGTCTTTCGCACAGTTACCCAGTGTGAGGTTCAACTGATTCATGGTTTTGTTGAAACTTACGTACTTAAATATCTGTAAGTGAAAGATCAAAATTATTGATTCTGTTAATATTTAAGATTAGCTCCTTCAAAATCGAATTTACCTTAATCCAAACCAAGAAAACGAGCAGACCAACAGCATTACTGAACTGCATCTCCCAGTAACTGAGTCGCTCGAAGTTTGAATAGGCATCTAGATTAGAGAGAAGGCTGCTTATGGTGGCGTTAACTCTAACAGTTCTGAAGATATTGAAGCCAGCACAAACACATGATAAAACGATGACGAGGATATCCAAAATATTCCAGAACTTCTTGAAGTACTTAATGCCAAGATTGGAAATCTGACGGCAGAGGAAGAGATGTGAATACAGTAGGCAATAAAAAGTAATCAAAACATCGACTCACTTCAATAACTTCTTCTGCGATGTAATACAGGATAAAAAGAAGAAACAGACATTCGAAGACCAGTATAACATAATCCTGTGTTCTCACATAACGTAGCAACTTCACCGTTCTAAAGTCAGCACTTATTAGAATTCCCCCTGTTGTCGGTGTTTCAGCGACAAGTCTGTAAAAAGTAGATAAAGTGCATCGTACTAAAATGAAAATCAGTAGACGAGCAAAATACGAAACTCACGAGACAATGCAGAAGAGATTGACATTGGGATTGTAGATATTGATATGAACAAAGACAGCACTAGTGCCTCTATCGATCCAGAGGTTTTCAAATAGCTCATCCAGACTGCTTTTGGCTTCGTCCTTATCATTTGGCAGGTCAAGATAATAGCCACCTCCGCCGTATACCGCTATGGATCCGAAATGCATTCCCATTTCCAGAGTGTCCCCATTTGTAAATTTCCAACTGAAAAAGAAAATTTAATGATATTTTTTCGTTTGAGCGGGTTTAAGAATTTTACATTTTTGTTCACTTTTCTTCGCTTTTATGGGCCTAAAATGACATTTGAATCTGCTGATATCATATCTCATTAAATGTATCTGAACGAAATGGCTATGCTCAATAAATTGCATATACAGGATAAGCTCAAGGTTAGCCAATCTGACTGAAATCTCCCCACCACAGTTAATTTCTCATTACTGATTAGCCTTAATATCTAAATAATTCCTATATCGCGTATCGAATTTCACATTTTTTTACCCATGACATATACCGACTTCCTCAAGCAGTTCTTCTAATTTTTGCTTCTCATTTCATGGTATCGAAATTTATTCTAAATCTTATACTGCTTATCTGTTTGATGGTTGGCGCCTTCTAATCCTTGTCTCATTAAATCCAAGCTATGATCTTGAAGGGATGAAACTGCCGAAAGTTAACATGTAGTTTTTAGTCTTTGAATCCCTAGAATATGCATTAATTTCCTATAATTAAATAACATTTAAAGTTCTCGATGTACCATAAAGAATAACTCAAAGTGCGTTTCATATAATTTTTCTTCCAGTGCAATTTAGATGCCCTTCGCTATCGAATTAGTCATGACCTAATAAAACACACACTGAAGTGTGGATGTTCTAACTGCCTTTGGAAGCCTTAAATTCCAGACATCTCTGCTGGGGACCCACACTTACCTACTTGGAGATCATCTGCTTACAACTCAATCCTTTACCTTATATAAACACACAAGCCCTAATGCCGCGTTATGGTCATTTATAGACATTTATCTACTCTCAATTCTGTATTCTTGATTGGGAAAGTATAATCTTCAGCTGCTGATTTCAGTTGGCAGCCACTGCAACGCCCATCCAAAGGTATTGGCGCTCTTTTCTGACCTTGCCACTGAATATTTTTCGAGTTGTTTATCCCCTCTATAAATATTGCTGCACCATTAATTTTCTTAATAGTAACCGGAGTACATCAAACTGTAACTCCAATATATCCTCCTTCCCATTCTCTCGTGGTTTCTAGTTATTTCGAGTAAGCTCTATTCTACCCCCACCCACCCACCCACCCCTTCCTCATCCTCTTAATCCATTTGTAATATGAAGATGTCCTAGTCCCTAAGACATAAAGCCCGCACTTAAGTAAATGGTACGTCAAAGTGTCTGTCATTTTCTTACTTTTGTCTTATTTATTTGGTGATTCCGCGCTTTCCCTGAATAGAGACTTAGCAACTATTGTTATTGCGTGAAATATGGCTTCGAAACTATTATGATTGTTTATGTTACCTTCTCGTCTTTCATTGGGTGAAAAGTAATAGATCATCAATTTAAACCAATTTGGTGCATACAAATTAGAATAGACCTGACTCCATTTACTATAACCTTCACTTACGCAGTTGAATTTGCTGGTCCAAAGGGAGAAGTTTCCTCCAAACCTATTCTATAGGTACCATAGCAGGTAGTGATTTGTTGAGCGAAATCCTTGGGAATGCTACACGATTGATTACCCATTCGCTGTTGCCTTATGCGAATCAATCCAAGTCGAAGTGACTCATAGCCAATGAAATAAGAGTCATCTGAAGCAATTTTAGCTTCGTTATACCACACGTCGTCATATAACACGTCCAGAAGAGGTCCTCTTAAAACCTAGTGGTGTATTAAATGAATATGAACTTTATTAACTCCCATTTTGAGGTGCGTAAAAACAATGAATCAAAAAACTGCAGAGAACACGATTTGCCTTAAAATGGGAAATTTATATGTAGGACTAAACTATTCTTCAACGTTGGTGTTTGGTGAAAAGTTATTATGTATTGATAGGAGTATTTATACATTATTACAATTATGTGTGTGTGTATGTACGCGCTTACTTTCCAATAGTCATCAATCGAGTTTACAGTTCCTAAGGTAATGTCAGCATCTTCCAAAGGCGTATTCATAAGAACATCTCGAATTGATTCCGTCATGTAGAAGGCTTTGGGATCAAGCATTCCGAAAGCAACTAAAACAATATACCACAGTTACCACTGATTTTGTGTAGTAAGAAAATGCAAGCATTTTTACTAACTTACTTGTGACGAGTGTGACTACAAAAAGAATGTAAATAAGAAGTTCTCTCAATGTTGTTTTGATTATTACCTCACGGTCAGAGCCCTCTCCTTTCATCTCTCTTGTTGTCCAAATTTCTAAATTGAGATTTGGTATTTACTAATTTATTTAAAATACCAATGTTGTTGAATATAAAATCAACGTACTTCTTAAATATTCCTTAAATTGATGCCAGCATCCATGTGTATCAGCGTCTCCATATCCCGTTGATTCATCTTCAAAATCAGTCAAAGTGGTATCAAGAAACACACCCTCGGCCTCTTGAACACTTCCTCCTGATTCCTTTTCGAACGCAGGATTAGACGGCATTTATCTGAATGAAAGATTACTTTTGAGATGAATTCCTATCATTTGTTTCTAGGCATCAAGTTAATGACTGTATAATGTATTGAACGTCTTCAAAATTGAATTGATAAGGTGTCGAAATTAAGTAGGCAAATTGTAGAATCTTCTTAAATTGTTTAGATAGATATATAGAAGGAATCCAAAAAGTCAAATTCAAAGGTATTGTTTTAATAGTGAATATTTACTCATCAAATTTTCATAAAGGGTATAGTAATTCCTGAACGGCATTCACACATAAGCTTAAAATCGTATTAAAAGATTAGGAATAGCTACATTTTTAAAATAAATGGTACAATTTGATTCACATTAATCAAAGTCAAAACGCGAATATTCATAAGCGGCAACTTGATTTGACATTAAATTAATAGATTAAATTATTTTAGGTATTTAAGATAAGCGATATTCCTACCAAGTCTTTCTAAATAAACGGCCTATGCTTGCAAACTTCTCTTCATGCGTAGTATTTGTATATTAATATTTTCAGCAGTTAAATTAAAAGAGCCATAGCAACAATTATCATGTACCATTTCCACATGCTCCGTAGCATTGTCCTCACCATTCCTGTTGCCATAGTTTCAGACAGTTGGGATGGCATGCTCCGTACCATAATTTAGCGCATGCTAAATTGTATGAAAAAAACCACCAATGATTTTGAGTCTTAAATTCGCCATTCCTTCCAAAGGATTTTTAAGGTTTCAGTTCCATGAAACACGAAGAGGCCGTGAGGGTGTGTACATGAGCCTTATTACATATGTTCATTAAGAGTGATTGCATGGAATCTTGGTAAAACACTGAGAAAATTTAGCAGTGATCGATTAACTATGTTAATCTGACTGGATCTAGTTCGATGCTATTCATATTTTGAATGTGGCACGGGTAATCTCCAGTTGTGTAGGCTTTCGATTTTTCCGTTTAGCAATTTCGACTTCAGTCATTAACCAATTATTCTAATTCATTTAATTCAATAATCTCAAGTAAATTAAATGATGCTATTAAAACTATTAGAAAGACATACTCAACAAATTATATCAAGGTTATCATAGTTATTTGTCAGCTAGCAAATTATTATGCTCCTTCCAAGTTATGTACTGCAGTCTGACCATGTCAAAACGAAGAATAATAGTTATTACCATGCCAGAATAGAAGCAATATGCATGTACTTGTTATAAAAATTAACGGATTTGAGATGATTTAGTGCATATTTTGAATTCAATCTGTCCTCCGTTAAGAAAGGCCGACAAAAATTTGCCAATATATAGAAAATCACCTAATATTATTATTATCAATTCCGCCATAAATTAATTTTTGTTAAAATTATAACCACGTGCTGCCCTTCAATAAAATTGAAAATCGAGTGTTATTTTTATCGCATATTTAGTCACTTAATAAATCGATCAAATTTATTGTGAGCCAAAATTGTATCTGTTAATTGAATATTAAATTGCCTGTTTGAAAATATTGAAAATCAAACTGTAGACTGAAGCGCGATCTTTAGCATTTCGACCTTGAGTTCTGTGGAAATTTGCATTTAAGTGCAGTAATGAATAGACAGGATCCTGTTAATTCTGTAATTTGACAACTAGATGTTACATCTTGAATATATTTCGTGGCATTATTTCCTCATGTAATGTTTAGGATCTTAGTGACATATACCAAAAGTGGGCGCGCTCAAACCTAACGGGCTCATTGAGGAGAACTGGGGCCGCCTGCATGTCAGGAGTAATCACTACTTCCGAACTAGTTGAAATTATTAATGAAATAAGAGTACGTTTTATCATCTTCGAACCCTTGTACTTTTCTTTACCCCAACGTTTGGTACATTTTTAACAGAATAAGCCTGACTGCCAAGATTCCAGAATCGATCCCCCGAAGCAGCAGTGGCTGGAGGCTATTTCGACTTCTAATTTATTTGAGATCCAAAAAATTTTAAAGGAAGATCCAGGTCTCGTAAACTGGAAGGTATTTTCTTGTGCATAATATTATTTTTCTCGTTTGCATTTTGCCTCATTTTTGCCCCTTTTTAGAATCCCTGCGATGGAGTAAGATTTTTATCCAGCTGGAATGTCGTTCTTTGCAATTTTTGTACATTTGATTTGATTTGTGTTTTATTTTTATTCTATTTACAGTGGGTGAGTGAAGAAATTTGTTGTATCAATGGTTCACTGTCTGAATGGTCTTGCTTTTGTTTTAATTAGTCATACCTATTTAAGTTGACTTTTTGTTATATTTTCCTATTTTCAGACGGCTTTGCACTATGCTGCGAAAGAGGGCAATGTTAAATGTCTAAATTACTTGATGCAACGTGGTGATATTGACGTTAACGCTCAATGTGGTGTACGTTTTATAGGTTATCATCGTTTAATTTTCAGTTTTACATAAGTTTGCCTTCCTCGGTTAGATTTAACGTATCAACAATACTTCTTTTTTCATAGACTTTTCATACATTAGTTTAGGGTAAAGGTATATTTCCTGACAACGCAGTTTTACTTTATATTTTGCCATTTTTGATTCTTTTGTTTTTATCCCTTTGGATGGACAAATTCGCCCAGTTTTCTTTAGTTATGATTTCTAAATCACAATCGTGTCGATCTCATTGATGTGTAATTAATTAAAGGTGTGGTTTTATTTTGCTTATGTTTTTATAGATATTGCATCCATAGGTAAACTTTATTTGCATTGACCACCACTGATCACAATGCAGAGAAGACAGTTTAGTTTATTTCGAGAGGACGAGTAGTCGGTGAAGAGTGTATGTGTGGGTGGAGGATAATGTATGCATTTACAAAGGAGGTATATACAACTCATTGAAGCGGCACATAAAACAATATGGATGTCGATGATTGGTGATGGGTATGAAAGCTGAGCGTGTCTGTGCATAGATCCGTCTATTTAAATTATTGTAAATGATAGCAACTTTGTTCGCTATTTCTAGCCTCTTTTATTTTCCAAATAAAAAACTGGAAAACTTAACAATTTTCATGTCTCTAATCTAAACTGCTAGGGCGTCATGTGCAAAATACTCCCTCACTCATATAGCTTATTGACCTTTTATGTAACCTAATGCTTTAATAGTCTTTTCAGTCGCAGTCCATTGGTGCGTTCTGAAACTTTGAAGTGAAATCGGATTTAGTTTAGTGGAGATTGGCTCTAATCTACGGGTCTTTTAAATTTTCCAATATTTTTTTAGCTGTATTTTCCCTTTACTCGTGGCCGTTTTTGTCCTTTATCTCGTCTACTTTTCTCGCTTTACATATTTATGCAAAAACAGCGTACTTTACTACAATAGGGAAAGTACTTTACTACACAAGCATGCCGATACCACCTCGCTCTTTCTCACTCGACCTTCTTTTTTATTTTCATTTCCATAATTTACTACCCGACAGAATGTAAGTTCACTTTGTTTTTGTGCGTTGGAACGTGTCCTACCCTTTCCGTTCTGCTCTGTTCTGCTCTGTTTTGCCGTTTCTTTGTTCATGTTTTGGTGTTGGCAGAGTGTGCGGTTGTCTGTCTTCTCTCCATGTCACTGATTTGCATGATATCTACGTAGTGTTTGTGTTCGTAGTGTTGGTTGTTTTTTTTTCAAACCCTTACTAATCTGGCACTAAACTGCTGATTATTTACCTTCATTTAATATTTTGTGCTCTTCCGCCTCGGGCTCTACTCCATTAAATAATTAAAGGAGCTTTCTAATTTTGTTACGGTTCCTCTTCCAAATCAGAGGACCGAGCAAGTTTGTATGGCACTCTAGGAAGTGACAACTCGGAAGTTAGAGGATATGATAAAGTGGTCAAATTGTATTTATTCTACTGAAGTTTTATTTTTGTGCCATTATTTAATAAGGGCACTGACGAAGTAGGTACCATCATGACCTTTCGATTTATTGCTGCACGCCTTTTCAAGTTCGGATTTGAAGAGCTTAAATCACGTGGTCTTTCGTAGTAGTAGATAATTCGTCTCCAGATAATATTGTACAAGGTTCTATTGACTAAGGGAAGTTTGATGATCAGTGCTGGCACGGGTCATAATGTGTCTTCTGCCGTATAAATTCCAAGTCTGCTGAAGTTAGATTTTATCCTTCCTTCTTGTATAAAGGAATTCAAAGCATTGCCTCAATTGAGCAACTCATGTCCATTTTAGCCATTGAACTTGCTCATGATGTTTATTGAATGTAGGTCTTGTAATTACTGTACCGAATCAGGCGCTAGTCGATTTGGTCTTTTCCTTTTGGACACCTTAAGCTGTGTATCTTATTATGGTATCCTAATTTCTACCAATCTCTGTTACTATAACAGTTTGGTGAGTAGGAAAATTTATCATTGGTCATGCAACGCTCACAGGTCGTTTTACTCCGATTTTAAATATCCATTTAAGGACACGCGATAGTCCTTGAGGTCATGTCAAACCATTAAGTATCTCAAATTCTATCACTAATCGAGGTAGAGATAAAATTTGTTCTAGAATCTGCATCGCGGTATATGCAAAATGTAAATTTTCAAGTGTCTGCTTGTGTTACGACAACTTGAATCAGTTATTTCAATCATAATTATTCGATAGGGAATTGACGTGAACTAATTTGAAGTTTAATAAATAATAAAGCGACACTGACCACCGTCAATCTTACCATAGGATCTTTGTCATTTGATTTCGGTTAGAAATAAATGAGTCCTTTACGTTCCTAAATTCAGTGCCCATGTTTCGTCGATTGAATTGGAACAAATGCTTATCGCAATTCCCAGTGCTTATTGGCCGATTGTTTTAAATTAAGATGGGTCGGTCTTGATTGATTATTTTTTCTCTCGCTGGTTAACAAGACCAGCTTATCTTACAGCTTACGGTTTTAACAGGCCTCAACGAAGGATTCACCATTGATCAAATTACACTACGAAAATAAGTTTGCCTCGGAAAGTGATTAGCGCTTCTAACTACTGAATGAGATTTCGACGGCATCATGACGCTGGGATTACTAAACCTGTTCTCTATGAGCTATGTCCATTCATTGTCAATTACTTTTGGACCATTTTTTCTGTATACCATGCATTTAACGGTCACTCGACTCACTGAAGTTGATTTTCCCATGTCATATTTTATACTAAATCTGAGATTGAGAACGCAGAGTGATCAATCTGATGGATTGTCGTTGACATAATGCATTACAGTAGTTAGAATTATCAAATTGACAATGTAAGGTGACATTAATTGTTTATTGTAATATCTACATCTGTATTAGGCAATGTCAGACTTTTGTAGTAACTTTACTCAGATAAATTTGTCGTTGCTTTTGGCTTTTTTGAACTTAATTGGCAATAATTAATGTGATAATGGCTTGGTAGATTTGCCAGTATCAAATCTATCTGAAATATTGCGTGGCTTTGTATCGCTATAGTATTCAAGTGACAAACTTTGCTAATACTTTACTATTTATTGCTTTCAAGGGCTGGACTCCTCTCCATGTTGCCGTCGTTTACTCCCAACGTCTTTTTATCCGGACACTGGTTGAAACTTATCGTAAGTCCTCACTTTACCACCTTAAGATGACTTGGGCGGAATCAAGGTTCAAAGCCTTTCTTTTGATAGTATTTTAGGCTTGTAGATAAGTGGACTTTGGCTTGCAGCTGCCTTAAAGACTTTTATAGGCAATGGGAACACTATCTTAACTAACTCCAGAAAATTTACTTTAATTGGAACATAACTCATTAATGCGGGAAATTTATAGTAAATCTACATTATCATCTTTCTTTAAGCTTTCTACGATCTTTAGAATAGCAACCCCTGAATTTTGGATTGTATCGAGGAGTCTAAGTCTCTGATCTTTCGGTAATCAGAAGATCAGGAGTTGAGTGGTGGTATAGGACCATCATATGGAAAAATGACAATAGAGAAATAGCGACTAATCAATAAAGAAACATTAAAGCATATATGAATCCAAATGTGTGCTCTTTTTGAACCCCTTTTTTGGTTTGAGGAAACGTGCATCTGTTATAGTTAGTCACCTTATCACTGAATGAGTATGTATGGTAGTGTTAGCATCGCCATATTGAACCCCTCTTCGTTATCACTTTGACAATAAACATACCTAGTTTTATAGATTTGGATCAAATTTTGGCTCATCATAAAGGGAGATACAGAGATGATTGGGATAAACAAACGAATAATAATTTATTTCAAATGGCGGGCTTAATGATACAAGGGCAGAGAAAAGGTGAGGTGAGTGCTGTGGAAGTGGTCGAATATGGCATACAGTGGGGTCATGGTAGCTTGAAGTCACAAGTCAACTGTCGGTTTATCGAATTTTTGCCGTATGAGAATACGGGGAATAAAGATTTTGGAGAAGTCAGAAGCCCATGTCTCTGCAAGTTCTTCGTGAAGTTGGATTGTTTTATGCTTTATAACGACAGTCATTAAACAAGAAGGTTGTTATATAGATAGTAAATGTTTTAATGAGAATATTTTATTTACTACTTATTAGGCCCCGGTGAGAGAAAGGACGGGTGTTTTAACCGGACAAGTATAGTCTGCTAATCAAATTTTGCGTGATTTAGAAGCTTGTTATTCATTTGTATTGTTTTTTTTTCAAATTGGGATTGATTAGTGAAGATTCGATCTTTGGTGTCCGAATATGGTTGGTTATATAATGGGCAAATCGATTATTGGTAGTTGATTTCATCAAGCCATGACCTGCCGTGGTTATAATATTTAATTTGTCTGACACAGGTAGGCCAGGTACCGCGGTAAATATTTATTCCATTAGTCTATTAGTTGGGTGAAAATTTAGACCTAAAATCGCTACGTAATTGGCTATTCTCTGTACACTAATATTCTATAAAGTAATCTTCATTGGGATAATTTCACAGTTGGACGTCCGGTTGATGGTAATCACTGTATCAGGGTCGAAGTTTTTGTCATTTAAGTAGGAATCAGAATAGTAAGGGAGCAATGCAATTAAGAGCACACTAATTCAGGTTTCACAGGTCATCTGCTCCCTCAATTCAAAGTCCGGTGAAGTTTGTCTTATCTCGTCATCTTTTTCATTTTTAACTGGACGATTTCGTGAGCTACCTTAGCTATCTCCACTTCACTTAGTTTTATCCATCTACTCGGCAAGCAAATCTTCAGGCTCTGTGTTAGGTAATTATCACTGCGAGCTGCAGATTCCTCCCTCCCTCTGGGTATGTAGAAGTACCCAATTTCGTTTGACGAGATTTTAGCAGTATTTTGGGAAATATATAATCTTTCTTGTAGAGACTTGCCAAGTTGTAGGAAAAAATTCATAAAGTTTAATTCTACCGTTAGCTCTCTTGAGGCATTTTCTACAACTTGTAAAGAGGATGCTGTTTTACTCCAATAACATCCATTCATTGCTATTTTTGTAGACGCTAAGAATGATATCATGGACTACTCAGGGAAATTTCCCGTTGATCTGCTTGCTACGGAGGAACTGAAGGAGGAATTGACTGGTGCGCTGTTTATTTTAATAATCGAAATCTTCTCTATTTAAGTACTTTACTACGTTCCAATTGCATTAAGAATCTGTGATAGAATAGATTCATTACAATTAGTTCTAAAAGGCCAAATAGTGGCTTATATGAATTGCTGACTATTCCTTCAAGATTACTCAAGTAGATGAAATTTAAAGTTTCTATTAAAAGGTCGATGTAACCTCTACAATGCTATATGCCATCAGTCAGGCGCATTAAATTGCTCGCTAAATATTTATTTGTTCAATTAAAATCAATCTTAACCGACTTGCAATCAGTGTAGGTAAACGTCATCGTTGTACTAACACTCTTTAATTATTATTTATACACCTACCTCTCTCGAGTATAGGCAGCATATTGAGTACCACTTATAAAAACTCGGAAGGCCCTTAAGGAACCTGTCTGGTTCATATGCCTTGTTTTGTTTATGATAATGGAGGTCAAATTAGCGTATGCCACTGTGGTCGCACATTGATTGTCCAAACTCCACGGCATACTTTACCAATTGAGCAGGAATTCATTCGCTTTGTCGTTGAAACAGTCACCAATATGTGTAATATTCTGTGGTTGCATTTGTTTGATGCTCTCTGTTTTTGTAAGCAATTGTGGAATGGCCAGAATTTAGTCCACTTAGATAAAATGTCAATTTAGTGGAGGACGTTCCTTAGCTTTCAACATAATGTTTAGTGCTTAAGCGAGAACGATGGAACGAGAAGATTTTGGTTTTGAAATTAGGAATCTCCATAGGTTCAGCTGCGGTTGGGCATTTTATTTTGTCGCTGAAAACCTAATTCCTTGACATTTTTCTGTCTACGTCCTCTTTATCTTACTCTAATCGCAGAACAAAGCCAACTCTGCAATTGATCAAGTCTAGAGGATTGGTTGGTGACGACACCATTAAAACCATTGTTCTCTTGGTTGATAGAAGATAGGTAGATTTAGTATGGGAAGGGGGGGGGGTGTGTGTGCTTGAATAGTGGGATCTTGGAATGAGACTTGTCTAAGAGAGAGGACCTCAGGTAGAAAGTAGAAGGCGCTGGATGAAGAACGGGAATGTAGGAGTCGTTCCATAGGAGTTGGAAAGGAGCCAAATCGATTTTTGTAGAATCGAAGAAGCTCTAGAGTCTAGATTTTGGTGTTTATTAGAAAGTTGGAAGATAATTAGAATTAGGTTCTGGTGACTAAAAAGTTGAAGAGGGTTGGTTAGTATTGTCGAACGACGATTTGATTCATTGAGTGAATTTTGATAGATGGGCCAATGTTTCCATATCGATAAGATCTGATGAATTGCTAGTACTTGAAAATTATAACACAGACCACAGGAACAGTCAATCATGAATATTTAATCGGGAAAATTCTCAAATGAAACTCTTTAAATGAATTTACATTAGTAGCTTACATTACTTTGACTGAGAGGAACTAATCTGTATTTTTTAAATATCGATCGTACAAATATTTATTCCTCCTTCTTTCTGTTTTAGAACTTCTTTCGCGTGGCCGGATAGCTAGAATACGTAAAAACAGTAAGTCTTCCCATGCTGTGTTGCTTTTTTCGTAAAGGAATCATAAATTTGCACATATTGCTCCAAGTTTTCATTTTCTATCCTATGAATACTATTTCTAATTCTATTTTTGCTTAACCCATCAACCATTTAATCAATCTATCTGTCATATCGCACCCACTTGTATCCGTAATGAATTCTCTAAACACGGAAAAAAGATGTAGTAGCTTCGTAGAGGCAAGAAGTAAAATCAAAAGAACTGCTCAATTCTAATTTGTACTACTTATTGTTTACCTGATTTTGCCTATTGAGAATAGCGGTAACGGATCTCGATTTGTCTGTATTATTTTATGCTGATTAAAATTCTTTCCATCTAATCCTTAGTTCAATGGGTTGAGTCTCAAGGAGTTTGATAGACATATAGGTGAGATCTTGCGGAGTGATAGTGGCTTCAGGAATTATCAAGCTGGCTTATAAGCGAATTTTGCACTCTAGAAACGGCTAGTTTTCCAATACACATTTCATTTGGGTAGTGGCATAATGAAGTCACTGGTGAGGCATTGATGCTTTCAAATCTTATTGGTTAGCCATTCCGCTAGCTAGGTGATTCCTGACATAACAGGCGTATACTGTGTTCAAAGCTCCACCTTGATTTACACTCTAACTTAGCAGGGACGTTAATATTTACTCGATAAACGCGATTAACAGCCCACTTAACATCTCTCACTTGCAGTTGCGGAATTTATGAATCCCACGCCAAAGTTCATTCAACGGTCTCAGTCCTGTATCTCTTCTAATGCTCTTGCTATTTTTACGTTGAATTTGATAACAGCATCTTTTTGTAATTTAATACTCTTTTCTTTTCTTTCGAGTCCTTTCAATGCTTAATAGAAGTCTTTCTCATCTGAATTTGAGCAAATCCGAGCAAAGTCCATCTAAACCTAGTAAGACTATACCCCCCCC